GGATTGCCTTTATCTATTTTCTCAGTTATTTCATCAAAGAATTCTATTAGAATTGTCAAGCAAGACTGGCTTTTAGCAAATCCATGCTAATTGATTTTAATCAACCCATGTCTTTCTAAGTGATTACTGATATTATCCCATAGTATGCGTCACTCTCCAGCGCCTTGGGACGTCCTCCCGACGTGAAAGGCACTATACAAATGTAATTTTGTTGTTGTTGTATCATGGATGAACCCAGGCTGTGGTTGGGAATGTCACTGTGACATCCAGGATTTGGGAATAGGTGGGGAACAGTACTGTGTCTCCCTGGGTGGACATTGTTAGTGAGTTACCTATGGAAGAGGAGTATCCTTGTGCATCTGAGTAGGGAGTGTCACTGGAACTAGGTTGTGGGGGCAAAGAGTCACTGTGCGCCCAGAGATTGAAGCAGTGTCACTTTGTACGCAGTGTGTGAGGCAGAGTGTCACTGTGTCTTATAACAGAATGATTTGTTCTCAAGTCCTTGAATTGATTTCACAGAAACCAACTGCTGATCCCTGCTCTACCGCATACAACTCCTCCCTTCTTTACATTCCTCCTTTGTTGCAATATCTAACAGATTTATTCCTCTCAGCGATATCTTTTCCACTTGACTTCACTGTTTCTCTTTTTTTTCCCTTTCAGTGATTATTAAAAAAAACAGCAGTTGTTCTCTCTCCGTCTTCTTCATCTGTGTTTTTTTCTGCATATTTCACTCTCCCTCTCCCCTCCTTACCCTGTTTATCATTTCATCATTAAAATAAAACCGAATCTCTAGAAATACACTAAAGTGGAATCAGCATCTGAAAGAGTGAAATAGGTTAACGTACCTGGTATGATAGCCCGAACCTATCACAAAACACACAGTCAATTCACTTTAATCCAATATAATGTGTGTCTATCCAATATAATATGTGAAGTGCTTTGAGACGTCTCAACGACATGTTAAGGCTCTTTATCAAATACAAGGATAGTTATTATTATTATTATCAGAACCTAAATTAGCCCCCAAACCAAACACTGTATTCGTCCCCACCAACACACACCCCAACCCCACATCCCCCATCAAAAAACATCAGACTCTAAACGTTTTGAGGTTAGACACATGCGGAAACCCATTCACATCCAAACCAGATAAACGCATGTATGTACACATGTCTGCTTTGTTTGGAATGGAATGTTCACTCTCTCCCCAGAGGGATGTACCCTACTTATCTCATTACAGAATGTATTAGGTGCTGATTGGCAAGATATACTAATAATAATCCTTGCATTTGATATAGCACTTTATTACACCATCGGGAGGACGTCTCAAATGTTTCACAGAATATATTGTAAAGTTACGTGACTGTGTATTTTGTGAGTGAAGGCCAGCTGTCAATCTGAGCACAGCAATTTCCCACAAACAGCCGTGGAGTGGGTGAATAATTTTATCTGGTGATTGTTGACCGGAATACTGGGAAAAATTCCCTTCTCTTTTTGAATAGTGGAATGGATGGGCAAATAGGATATGAGTTTAATAATCACCCAAAGGACGGCGCATCTGACAATGCAGAATACCCCCAGCACTGCACTGCAGTCTCAGTTTGGAAGTGCCAACGTGAGGCTATGAACCCACAATCTTCTGTCTCAGAAGTGAGAGTGCTACCAACCCAACTGAGCCAAGCTGACCAGCGTGAAGGAGCTTGGGCTTGCAGGTAAGCACTCCAAGATGCTACTGCACCTTAAGGGTACTATATAAATGCGAGGTGTTATTAACAGGACCTGAGTGGCAGGAATCCTTGTTCCCTGTGATTGATCTGCTATCCCTCAAGTCCTAAGTCTGGTTTACTGGTCTGTCATCGACATTGCTTGGAAGATCTGCCTAACTCAGGAACTGGACAAGAGAGACCACACAGAAGATTAACTCAATTCCGTTATTCCATTGCCAGGGAAGTCATCTTGCAGCCAGCTCAACTCCAAGGAAATCCCACCTCCCCAAGGATAGTATTAGTATCAGACCTTATATTGGACAAGATGCACAAGACCTTACATCAGAACTAACATGAAAAATCAAAGGATTCGCACTGGATTTTGGAATCCAGCTTCTCCTTCAGATGTTAATGGACCTGTGGAGAATTTTCCTAGAAGTTTCTATTTTTATTTCGCATTGCCAGGGCTGACAGACCATCTCATCAATTTCTCGTTTTATTTTCCTTTCTCATTCTATCCTTTTTCGCTTCAGTTCCTCACTCTGTTTCTATCTCTCTCTCTCTCTCTCCTGTTTGTCTGTTTCTCTCACTAAAAATTCTACCTAGTTCACAATCTCTCCATTTATCTCTTTCTCTTTCCCTGTTTGTATGTGTCTCTTTCTCTCCCCCCCACCGCCCACCCCCCCCCCCTTTCCTGCCCCCTCTCATGGCTGAGGACCTCATTATATATTGTACTTCCCAAATGCGTGATAATATTTGGGAGCTCGGTGTTGTGGCGTGAGTGAAAGGCTTAATCTCATAATTAAGATTTGTGATCATGTTTTATTTAAACGACCTGGATAGAAAACAACGTTAAGGCCTTGCATGGTGTCCCACTCGGATTCTTATAATCTGGATTAGCCTGAGATCCAGATAATCTATTCCATATTATTACATTATTTAGGCTTCCCTCTAACGCCCACCTCCCCTCTCCTCCTTCATCCCAGAACTGGTCGGTAGAACACTTCTTCTCCAAAGTCCGACTGAATTCGGATTCCCTGGTGGTTTCTGCCGTCTGCTCTGGATTGTATAAAGCTATGGCTTTTGAAAGTGGATACACCCACTATCTTCCGCGCTCTGCATTTCACAAATTCGGGAACTGAGACAGACAGAGAGAGTGAGTGTGTTTGAGAGTGTGTGAGAGTGCGAGTGAGTTTGTACGTGAGAGAGACAGAGTGAATGAGTGTGTGTGAGAAAGAGACTGAGACAGCGAGTATGTGTGTGTGTATGATAGGGAGAGAGAGACTGGGACAGAGAGAGTGTGTGTGAGGGAGGGAAGGTGAGAGAGAGAGAGAGAGAGAGAGAGAGAGAGAGACTGAGACAGAGAACAGTTCCCTTATTTGTAAGCAATGTCACCTCTTTGAGATAAGAGAGGTCCCTTTTTTTCTGCATTCACATTAAAGCGCACATGAGCCTTATTGTAAATAAGACGGTTTGCGTCAATGGTGCAAAAGTGCTGTTCTGTTCTGTGCCAATTCTGTTCTGGTTTAATCTGCATTAAACGACAGAAAACCATCCGCAGATTCCATGTGGAGTACAGTGTATCTGCCGAGAACTGTAAAATGACATGGGTATCTGGAGAGCCTAGTGAATGAATGCTCTGTATCCAGCTCAGTGTGGGGTCCAGGCAGAGACAGAATCATTGACATTACAGCACAGAAGGATGCCATTTGGCCCATCGAGCTAATACTGGTGTCAGTTCACCACTGTTGCAATAAAACCCTAATCCCAATCCCCTGTCCTTTCCCCCTTACTCTTCTCCATTGATAAAAGACACATAGTTAGTACCTATATGATATATGTAGGGCATCTGCACTGGCTGAAGACATCTTGTAAAGTAAATAGTCTAATTGCAATACAAATTCAAAACAATATAGTGTCTCATACCGAATAATAATTATGTTTGTTTCACCCACATAATATACAGTGTATTCCGTGAAGTTCTTTGAGACGTCTCAATGACGTGATAAGGCACTATATCTAATGCAAAGATTATTATTATCATTACGTTTGCCATCGCCCAGTCCCTTGGAATTATCAAGGATTATTAATAATACTAACGTTCCCATTTGTATATAAAGGATATACAGGCTAAATACAATATAAAATAGCAGAAGCTGTACCAGCTAAATATAGTACGCACAGGCCAAGCCCAGTACAAGGTAAACAAGCTAAAAACAGCACCTGGGATATATTCTATGTTTCTATATAAAGTGTTTAAAGGGTGGGGCGGCGCTAAAATAAAACTGATACAGGGGAGCTATCTCCCTACTTCCATTTTAACTAAAGAAACAAACAAATAAACAAAATATGCTTTGATCAGTGTTTGCAGGCAGCGTGGAAGGGATGGGAGAATTTCCTTCCTCCCCACACACATATACACACACACACACCCACAAATACACACACACACACAAATACACACACACACATATACACACACACAAATACACACACACACACAAATATACACACACAAATACACACACACACAAATACACACACACACACAAATACACACACACACAAACACACACAAATACACACACACACACACAAATACATACACAAATACACATACTCACACACAAATACACACACACACACACAAATACACAAATACACACACACACAAATAGACACACACACAAATGCACACACACATTGCATTAAAGTTGAAAGCAAAGCGTCTTGTTGTTGGGTGGGTTTGTGTGTGTGTGTGTGTGTGTGTGGGTGGGTGGGGGGTGATGGGGTGGGGGGGGGGGGGAGAAGCCAGTGCATTGACTGCCATATGCGTTGGCCATGTAAAGGGAGAAAGGAGAAAGAGAGCGAAAGAAAAAAAAATAAGCGAGTGCGGCTTTTAGCGTCGATGTGTCCCAGTTCTGCTTCTGCGGGGTCTGGGCTGAGAGGATGGGGAGGAGAGGCAGAGCCGCAAAGGCAAAGCTGTGAGTGCGAGAGTGACAGATGGTCAGTCGTCAGTCCCCGGGGAGCCCTGAGCGCTCCGAATGGAGGCGCATGTCAATCACCGCGTCTCATGTGATGGCTCCTGCGAATGACGCGAAATGCCATATGGCCTTGGCATCGGAGCTGGTACCCTTTCAGCTTGGTACAGAGATGCCACTCTGCCTCTTGTCGATAGGTTGGGAGATGAGCAGCTTTGCGAGGAGGTTGGGTACCTCACCCAACACCGCTTAATCCCCAGAAGGTAACGTTGAACAATGAGATAAAAAAAAAAACACACACACACACTCCAACAGCCGCACTAATTACAGCAGGTAAGTTGTGAACGGTTTGGGAACCGATTCAATGCAAATCTCGATGCTACAGTATTTTTTTTTTGTTTTGTTTTTTTTATCGCCTGATCTGTTCAGTTCGGTTCAATTCAACGGTGTTTTGGAGCAAACGCCCGTCGCGTCTTTATCTATCTATCTATCTATCTATCTATCTATCTATCTATCTATCTATCTATCTATCTATCTATCTATCTATCTATCTATCTATCTATCTATCTATCTATCTATCTATTTATCTATCTATCTATCTATCTATCTATTTATCTATCTATCTATCTATCTCTCTATCTCTCTCTCTCTCTCTCTCTCTATCTATCTATTCTATCACTAAATAACTTCCTTATAACAATCCTTATAATTCCTTTATAACAATCTTTGCATTTGACCCAGAACCAACGTGTGTTAAAACATACAGCGAATGGGGAGTGGGGGGTGACGGGGGGGGCGATGACTTCAATAAATAGCAATAAATGTAAAATAAAATAAATGTCATTTGCAACTGTTCTGAATCGAATCATTTCGATTTATTTTTCGGTGGTGGGGGGGGGGGGGGATTTACAAAGGACAATGTTTATCAGCCGAAGTGTTCTGCTCTCCGCGCTATACCATCCTATCCAGAATTAGGGTTTTATATATATATATATATATATTTTTTATTTATTTTTTTGCAAAATTATTATTTTTTTAATATAAGTTTGTCCGAATGAAGTTGCACTGAAAAAAAAAACCGTCGGTAGAGACGTACCGTGTCGGTTTGCACGGAAATAAATGAGCTGTCGTGGCTTTTCCCCGAATTTCTCGGCGTTTTTAGAGATACGTCTACTACAATTTCAGACAAATCAAATAATTACCTATTTATTTTTTTCCCTGTGCACTGCCCGAGACCTACACGCGACCAATGTTACACAATACATAGCCCAACACACACAGGAGGGTCAGGGCACAGTCATCAATATCATCAGAAATATGTATTAATTTATTAATGTTTCCAATTGCCCGAGTGTGAAAAAAACACGAGGCTATGGACTCGGAGTGCGGGTTCAATCTTATATCGCTGCAGAAAACAAGAAAAAAATCAGATGTGATTAACGCACGATTGTGATATGAATTCTCTGACCCCCTCTTTTCCCCATTATTGTAACAAGAAAGTGTTTGGGTGTTTGTTTGTTTGTTTGTTTGTGTGTTTTTTTCGTCGGTGTTGAATTGCGGGGACTTGGACGAGGTCCAAATATCATCTCTAGATTTCTAGGACCAAAGTTCAGCGGAATATTGTGAAATGGGACGGATTCTGTCCACCAAAAAAAAAAACATAGTCTCTGTTAACGGTTTTCTTGTTTTAACACAAAACAAGAAAAAAAAAAGGTCAATAACAACGGGATGGGACTTCGAGGAAGTGTGAAAAACAGTCGTAAAATTTAGTCCTTACATTTTAAGAAAATAGCTCAATAGAATAATCACATGAACCCAAACCCACAGAGGGATACGAAGTGCCCAAAGCTTTTTTTTTTATTGTCATTTTGCCATAGAGGGCTTTTTTTTTTAATACATAGTCCCTGGTGTCTCTTCTCTGGCACCTTAATAATTCAGAGACCTTTGCAATGTCCAAAAGTCTCGTACTTGGTGCATATAACACACTTCTCTCTTGCGTTTATGTGCAGCTCGATGCAATGCTAATGTGTGTGTGTGTGTGTGTGTGTGTTTGTGTGTTCGAGTCCATCTTCAACTTGTAAATTGGTTTCCAATGTGATCAATGTGTAGGGAATTTGTGTGAGGGTTTGAATACGGTTTCTTACAATCCTTTTTAAAAAAAAATACTTTCCCTCCCCCGCCCGCTCCCCTTTTCCTTTCTTTTTCCTCCCTCCTCCCTCCTCCCCACCCCCACACGCCCACCTATCTGCCCATCTCCTTAGCAAACATGTTGACTCGCCTGTTCAGCGACTCCTCACTCATCCCCGAAGTCCAGAAGTACTCCAGCTGGATGGAGGAGAGCGACAGCGAGGATGATGACAAGATCGGGGAGGAAGGGAGCAGCGAGAACTGCGAACTGCAAGACAGTCAGGCGGAAGATGGCCTGAGTGGGATTCAGGAGAACGAAGAGGAGGAGACGGGGTTGGATGAGGACGAGGAGGGGGCGGAGGAGGAGGAGGAGGCTGATGAGGAAGATGGCACCAGGCCCAGGAAGCGTGGACCTAAGAGGAGGAAAATGACCAAAGCCAGGATGGAACGGTTCAAGCTCAGGCGACAGAAAGCTAACGCCAGGGAGAGGAACCGCATGCACGACCTCAACTCAGCCCTGGACAACCTGCGCAAAGTGGTGCCCTGTTACTCCAAGACCCAGAAGCTTTCCAAGATAGAGACCTTGAGACTGGCGAAGAACTACATCTGGGCTCTCTCCGAGATCCTGCGTTCCGGCAAGAGACCAGACCTGGTGTGCTACGTGCAGACACTTTGCAAGGGGCTCTCGCAGCCCACCACCAACTTGGTGGCGGGTTGCCTCCAACTCAACTCCAGGAATTTTATAACCGAGCCAGGCCAGGACACCTCCCGCCTGCACCCTCCCAACTCTTCCTTCGCCATGCACCCTTACTCCTACCAGTGCGCCAGGCTGCCCGGCCAGCAGTGCCCCAGCGGCGGCGGAGGAGGAGGAGGTGGGGGAGGTGGAGGAGGTGGAGGAGGTGGGGCTGGGGGTGGCATTAACAGCTCCCACCCGTTGAGAGCCCACCCTTACTGTGGCACTTACGAGCACCTGTACGGCAACGCGTCTCCAGACTACACCAGCTCCGAGTTTGAAGGGCCCCTGAGCCCACCACCACTTTGCACTAACGGTAGTTTCCCGGTGAAGCAGGACTCTGCCTCGCCAGAGCACGACAAGAACTACCACTACACTATGCACTACTCGGCCTTGCCCGGCTCTCGCCCGCCTGGACACAGCCTGGTCTTTGGCCCTCCTGGTCTTCGCAGTGGTGTGCACTCAGAGGCCCTGTTGTCCTATGACATGCACATGCATCAGGACAGAACGCCTATGTATGAAGAACTGAACGCCTTTTTCCATAATTAGAAGCAGGTTCACACTTAACCCCCTCCTCCACAACCCCATCACCCACTCCCCCTGCATGTCTGTCTTCTGTCTGTCTGTCTGTCTGTCTGCTGGTCCAGGTTAGCAAAAAAAAAACAACACAAAAAGATGCAAAAAGACAGGAACTCGCAGCTGTTCAATTTGCTGGCACATGGGGGGTTGGTAGGGGTTTGGATGGGAGGTGGGGAAGAGGAGGGGGTGGGGGTGGGCTGTGTTTTTAGAATTAAATACGAGACAACTGGAGTGTTGTCTCTCTGTCTATCTGTTTGTCTGTCCAGCCCCCATCACCTCCACCCCCTCGGGTTTAAACAAGTCTCTGTGATAAAACTGGCGCTTCATATATACAAAGTATATATACAAAATACGACCCAGTTTCAGTATTGGGCTTCCGAAAGTCTGCCAATTCGATGCAAATGCTGTAGTTGGATATTTTGTCAGTGTTTTATTTTAACTGAAGATGTAGTCTCTGTTTTTGGTGAGGAAAACAAATAGGGTCTTTGGGTGGGGGGAGAGAGAGAGAGAGAGAGAGATGGAGGGATTCTACAAATCTCTTTCAGATATATAAATAGAACGCAATGAAAATGTCACTCACACAGTGCTAATATTTGGGGGCAGGTATTTTAGGAACAATAATAATAATAACAATAATAATAAAAAGCAATAATGGAAATAATGATTCAAAAAATCTATGCAATCGATGTAGGAATTAAAACTCGCGTATCCTATAGGAATTACGATCGTAACGAGGGCCAATTTGCGTCTCCCACAGGTTTCTTTAGGGAAAAAAACGTGCACTTTGAATTGGGGTTAAAAACAAATCTATCCACTTTTCGCTTACTCACGCTTCTATATGATTCTTTTTCTTATACTTCTTTTTAAAAATAACAAAAAAAAACATTTATTTTCCGAATAGCGCCATAGCATTTTCTATTTGTGTGTGTGTGTGTGTTAGTGTGTGTTAGTGTGTGTGTGTGTTAGTGTGTGTTTGTGTGTGTGGGGTGGGAAAAAAAACGACTTTTGTTACATGCTATATACAGTATAAAAAAACATTTTTGTAAATGTAGTTGTCGAAGAGAATTATGCAATTATAGCGTTTAAAAGGCGGTGGCGACAGGTTTTTTTTTCAAAAAAAGTACCTGTGCACTTACTACAAAATATTTCAGTATAAAATTTCGTTTTAATTTAATTTTAATTTTTTTGGAGCAAAATTGTTCCGTAATGCAGTTTTTTTCTCTGGGTTTAATACACCTCGTGATGTCAGTTGTATTGTAGTGTGGTCTTTCCGGGTGATAAAGCCCTTCAAAAGCTCTCCCCCCTTTTAAACCGCATTCTGCCCTTTAAACTGCCTTTTTTCGAGTTCAAACATTTTTTGAGCGGCTTTGTAAAATGACTTTAAACTGTGTTTGTTTATCTCGGTAGAGTTGAACTTCCAATGCAGTTATCCATAACCGAGTTACCACGAGATAACTAAGGCTTAATATTTAGTCTGGTGATAACTGGCTGCTCACACAGCCCAAGTTGTCTTTTGTGGGAGGTCAGGGTAGAACATCATAGGTATAGTTTCTCTCTTTATCCGCCAGATCTCGGTGGAGAAGTGACCACATGGAGCTTGTCTGGCCACAGGGATCAAGGATGGTGAACAGGTGTCCATCTCCCAGGCTTCCCAATCCCAGCAAACTCCCTGCATAGAAACCTGCTCCATCCCAACTTATCGTTAGCCTTAAACAATCCGCCAGTAACGTGCTGTTGAAGTGGACAAATGGGCGATTTGTCCATTTCAAACTCAGCAACACTTTCCAACCAGTTAGATTTGGGTCTCAACACTAACCCCAACCTCTTAGCTCCGAGCTCCTTCCTGCTCTTGACCCCGAAAGAGCCAACAACCAATTTGGCTCGACTTGTGCTATGATTTTGCTGAGCTTGGCTCTTGCCAACTGCGCCTAATACATTCCGGAATTAGGTATGTAGGAAGCGTCCCTCCAGGGAGAGAGAGAGAAAGAGAGAGCGCTTTCCATTCCAACAATCTATCTCTAGGATTTCCACGTGTAGGTGGGTTGGATACTCTTAAGCATGGTGATGGGTTTCTGCAGGTGCCAGACACCCGGCTGACCCCCCCCCACACCCAAAAAAAAAAAAAGAATTGTAAGGCATCTAATGGCTGACAGGGACAGACCATCAGAGTCAGGGTCAATGCCATGGTGTGATGGGTGGTTAGCTCGACATTGATTGAACCGGGAACCTAAAATAATTACGGATAAATTCTGAAATATGTCTTAACAAATCAACCGGTATCTGAGAGAGTGAAGGCGATTGTTGATTTAGCAAACTGGTCAACCGACCCTCACTCCCTTACACACTGACTGACTGACTGACTGACTAACTGACAATATGGGGCATTTTCCCTCTTTTCTGTTGTAATTGTTGTTTTTGAAACAATCGGCTGTGTGAGGGGGTGGGGGGGGGGGGGTGATAGGGAGAAAACATGCTCCTCAATAAATTAAACGCTTGACTGTTTCGACATAGAAGAAGGATTTCTACCAGAAACCCAATGGAAAAGGGAAATGTATAAACAGTTCAAGAGGAAGAACACAAAAGGGGATTTGGGGAGTGGTGGGGGGGGGAGGAAGAACATGGATTATATACAGGAGCCGACACAGGTGGGGGCTGTGAGGGCGGAATTATCTCTTCGTGTACTGTAATGTAATATCTTGTGTTTATAGGTGTTTCTGGACCTATTTTGCTGGTGTTTCTGGTCTGGTTGCTCCGGACCCCGTGTGTGTTTCTTTGCACTTGTGTTTTTTTTTACATGCACACACTTTTTGCGGCTCAGAACTTTGTTCTAATTCTGGGCTGTTCAGGGACCTCTCTGACGAAGTATAGGTTTATACAGTATTCATTTCTCCCGTCCAGGCATCAAGCTCTCGAATTGAATCAGCCTAAATATAGACATAAGTAATTGTGCAATACCCCAACTGCGTTTCCACTCACATCGCGCACTTTATAATTGGTGCCCGTGGAATCTTTTGTTCCTTTTTCCTTAAAAGAACAACATACTCAACATTAAAGACACACACATACAGACTCAATGCAATACATAACCACACACAGCACACAGCACAAGCAAACAGCACACCACAATGTACATACAACATGCACACACACACTCACTCACATCACAGACATCTTACGCACACAATCAACACACACAGACGCACACACACAATCACATAGAAACACACCTCACAAACAACTGCACGCATACATACACAACATGCACACACACACACACACCACCCATACATCCAGAGCGGACACATGTACACACATTCACCAACATATATGTCCACCCGCACATACCTTCCATCCCCACTGCCCAGGCTGATTTGACCTCGATGACCATGGCTAGACTCACATTCCGGTTCCACCCGAAAGAGAAGTGCCAACACAAAGCAGGAGTCGGTGATGTATCTCTAAAAAAAAAACATACAAGTCCTGTGTATCGGTTGGGGTTTCCTATTGATGTTATTTTCTGTTCTTAGATGCAGGTCGGAGTATTTCATGCATTGCAATTAGCGTTAATTCAGATTGGAAACCCACAGAGGTGGTCAGTGGGGTGGGAGTCGGGGGACTAACTCAATGGGGTAGGAGATGGTCAACGGAGAGGGTATAGATCAATGTTGGCTTCACTATCGTGAGTGTGTGCCCCACATTATACACGTTATGGCTGATCCCTGCACACACCAGCCTCAGAGTAACCATCCAGTTTATTGTAACTGGCAAACATTTAGGTTAAACTCAAGTCCCTACTTAAACCTCAACCCCGGCGGTTTAAAGGCTTTTTTCTTTGTGCTTTCGCCGAAAAAAGACACACACAGCTGAAACCTTGGAATGATGGCGTTTCCCAATAAAGGAGTCGGTACAATCAGGAGACTTGTATTTCGTGAGATTTCTACTGGGGAAGTCTCACCCTTCGCAATCTAAAGGGTTTGCATCTCAGCAATGCAAGTTGTTGTTGTTGTGGTGGTGGGATTTGCGGGTGGGGGTGGAATCATACGTTATGTGTCTTGTCTTTTTAAAAGTGTAACTAAATTTCACAGCGAGAGAGAGAGAGAGAGAGAAACCCAGCTGTCTGAAGGGATAAGTTCCACCATCATTATTTTTGTTGTACGATTTAAATGGTTCATTCCGTGCTGCAAAGCGAGAGAAAAAAAAAGTGAAGGGTGGAATGGATTGCAACAGGTTTAAGTGCAAATTCCTTCTGTTGTTTGAGAAATAAAAAAAAAGCTTGTTATTTTGGCTGGGGGGTGGGTGGGGGGGGATACAGAGCATTGTAATATTGTTGAGTGAATGTTGCTCACAGGACCATTGGGCGAAAGATGACTACAGGAGATCTCTTGTGAGGTTGTTCAGGAGGGGGTTGGGGGGTGGGGGGGTGGGCGGGTGGTTGAGGAGGGGGGCGAGGAGGCGATGGATGTCAGTCAGGGTCAGACGTTGCTGAACTTCAATCCTCTCTCGGTGGATATTGAAGAGAAGCAGAGAGGCAGAGAGAAGGGAAAAGGGAGACAGGGAAAGAGAGAGAGAAGAGAGACAGGCAGAAAGACAGGGGAAGATAGAGATAGAGAGAGAGAGAGATGGATAGAGAGAGAGAGAGAGAGATAGGGAAAGAGAGAGAGAGCGAGAGAAGCAGATGTGTCAATAATCAGTTCACTGCTCGTTCCCTTGTGCCATACTTTCGATGTTAGTGATATTGTTGTCGTTATTTTCTGCTTCTTTCCCCAATCTCTGAAGGTCGATGCGAGGAGGCAACGTGCACATGATATCCCAACAGTTACCCTGGTGACTGACATCCCGACCCAATGTACAAAATGCCAGACACTGACAAGTGCTGTAATTATGCCCATTGCATCGAGTCAAACAGTTAGTTTATTTTAACTGTATATATTATTTAACGTGTATAAAAATATCTACAGGATTATGCACTT